TCCCGGCCACCGCAGCCTCGACCTGCTGGGTTCCGGCGATCCTTCTGCCTCAGCCTTCCAATTAGCTGGAACTACAGGCGTGCGCTACCATACCTGGTTAATTTGTTTTTGATTTATTGTAGAGATGAGGTCTCACCAAGTTGCCCAGGCGGGTCTCAAACCGTGGGCTCAGGCAATGCACTCACCTCAGCCTCCCAATGGTGCGGGATTAAAGGCTGAGTCACCGAGCCCGGTGCCTTTTTTTTTTTTTTTAAATGATGAGGTCTCACTATGTTGTCCAGGCTGATTCTGAATTCTTGGGCTCAAGTGAGCCTCCACCTTCAACCTCCCAAAGTGCTGGGATTACAGGGACTATGAACAGAATGGGCAAATGTTAACTTAGAAGAAAAAAGTATCAATTACTAAAAATCAGGTCAGATGTGGGGGCTCATGCCTGTAATCCCAGCACTTTGGGAGGCCAAGGTGGGAGGATCAATTGAGTCCAGGAGATCAGATCCAGTCTGGGCAACACAGTGAGACCTCATCTCTACAAAAAAATTTAAAAATTAGCTGGGTGTGGTGGGCACACTTGTAGTCCCAGCTACCTGATACCCCAGGAAGTCGAGGTTGCAGTGAGCCGTGATCGTTCCACTGTACTCCAGTATGGGCAACAGAGACCCTGCCTCAAGATATAAAAAAATAAAAATAGCTAAAATTAGTATTGAAAGAAGAGACATTAAAACCAATACCACAGAAATAAAAAGGATTAGCTGGGCATGGTGGCATGTGCTAGCTACTGGGAGGCTGAAGTGGGGAGGATCACTTGAGCCCAGGAGTTCCAAGGCTGCAGTGAGCTATGATCATACTACTGCATTCCAGCCTGGGCGACAAAGCAAGACTCCATCAATCAATCAATTAATACATACATACATAAATACATAAATAAGCACATAAATAAATAACAAAATAAAACGGATTATAGGAGAATACTGTGAATAACTGTACACCAACACAATGAATAACCTGAAAGCAACAGATAAACTCCTACAAACAACTTTCCAAGACTGAATCATAATGCAATAGAAAATCTAAACAGATAAATAACAAGTAGGAGATTGGGTCAGTAACCGAAAACCTCTCAACAAAGAAAAGCCCAGGCCCAGATGGTTTCAAAGAAGAATTTTTCCAAATACATTAAAAAAACTTAAAACCACTGGATGTGGTGGCTCATTCCTGTAATTACAGTACTTTGGAAAGCTGAGGTGGGAGGAATGCTTGGGCCCAGGAGTTTAAGACCAGCCTGGGCAACACAGAAAGACCTCAAACTCTAAAAAAAAATTTTTTAATTAGTTGGGCACAGTGGTACGTGCCTGTAGCCCCAGCTACTCAGAAGGCTGAGGCGGAAGGATCGCCTGAGCCCAGTACGAGGCTGTGGTGAGCCATGATCGTGCCACTGCACTCTAGCCTGGGCGACAGAGTAAGACTCTAATGCAAAAAACAAACAAACAAACAAACAAAAAAAACAAAGAAAGGAAAAATTAACACCAATCCTCCAGAAACTCTTCCAAAAATAACTGAAGAGAAGGGAACACTCCCAAGCTCATTAAGTTCAGCACATCCCTGATACCAATGCCAAAGACACTACAAGAAAACTATAGACCTTTATCTCTGATAAATATTGATGCAAAAATCCTCAACAAAATAGTACTAAATCAAATTCAGCAGCACAACAAAAGAATTATATACCCTGACCAAGTGGGATTTATTTCTCAAATACAAGGAAGGTTCAACATATGGAAATCAATCAATGTAATATACCACATTAACAGGATAAAGGACACAAATTACAATCATCTTAATTGCTACAGAGAAAGCATCTGGCAAGATTCAACAAACTTTCGTGATAAAAACACTTAACAAGCTAGGACTAGACAGAAACTATCTACATAAAAAAGTTCATATATAAAAATTCCACTGCGAATATTACTCATTGGTGAAATACTGCAAGCTTTTCCTCTAAGATCAGAAACAAGGCGAAAATGCCCATACTCCCCACTTCCACTCAACACAGTATTAGAAGTCTTAGCCAGAGCAGATAGGTAAGAAAAAGAAATAAAAGGCGGCCGCACTCGGTGGCTCAGCCTGTAATCCCGCCCTTGGGGAGGCCGAGGTAAGGGAATTGCCTGAGCCCGCGGGTTCGAGACCCACCTGGGCAACTTGGTGAGCCCTCATCTCTACAATAAATCAAAAAAAAAAAAAAAGAAAGAAAAGAAATAAAAGGCATCCAAATTGGAAAGAAGGAAGTGAAATTATCTATGCTGACATGACCTTATATGTAAAAATCCAAAAATATACCATACATAAAACTATTAGAACTTATAAACAAATTCAGGAAAGTTGCAGGATACTACTAAATCAATACACTAAAACCAGTTGTGTTCCTACACACTAACAATGAGCAATCTGAAAAGGAAATAAAAAAACCAATTCCACTTAAAATAGCATCAAAAATAATAAAATCCTTAGTAATAAACCCGACCACGAGGTAAAAATCTACATGGTAAAATTACAAATCATTGTTGAAAGAAATGAAAGAAGACACAGATAAATGGAAAGACATCTCATATTTATGGACAACCAGACATAATATTCTTTTTTTTTCAATGCAGACTTAATATTGTACAGATGTCCATACTACTCAAAGTCATCCACAGATTTATTGTATTCCCTATCAAAATCTCAAGGGCACAAATTTTGTGCCCAAATCTAAAAGTCCATCCTAAAATTCATATGAAATCTCAAAGGACTCAGGACAGCCAAAACAATTTTGAAAAAGAAGTAAAGTTGGAGAATTCATGGTTCCTAATTTCAAAACATATTACAGGCAAGGTGTGGTAGCTCACACTTATAATTCCATCACTTTGGGAGGCGGAGGCAGGACTGCTTGTGCTTAGTACTTTGAGACCAGTCTGGGCAACATAGTGAGACCTCATCTCCACAAAAAAAAATAAATAAATAAAAATTAAAAATTAGCTGAGCATGGTGATGTGCACCAGTAGTCCCAGGTACTCAGGAGGTTGAGGCAGAATAATTGCCTGAGCCCAGGAGTTGAGGCTGTGGTGAGTCATGATCATGCCACTACACTCCAGCCCGGGTGACAGTGAGGCCTTGACTCAAAAAGAAACAAAAAACAGGCCGGGCTCAGGGGCTCAACCTGTAATCCTAGCACTTTGGGAGGCCGAGGTGAGTGGATTGCCTGAGTCCCTGGGCTGGAGACCTGCCTGGGCAACTTGATGAGACCTCATCTCTACAATAAATAAAAAATTAGCCGGGCGTGGTAGCGCGTGCCTGTCATTCCAGCTACTTGGAAGGCTGAGGCGGAAGGATCGCTGGAGCCCAGCAAGTCGAGGCTGCGGTGGCCGGGAGCGGCCATTGCACTCCAGTCTGAGTGACAGAGTGAGACCCAAACTCCCCCCCAAAAAAAAAAAAAAAAAAAAAAAAAGGAAACAAAAACCAAAAAGTTTACAAAGCTACAATAATCAAAACATTGTGGCAATGGCATAAAGACAGACAAATAGAACATAAAGCCCAGAAATAACCCCTCAGCCTAAAAAAATGAGTATATGCCTGGCACAGTGGTATGCATAGGCATACTTGGGAGGCTGAGGTGGGAGGACTGTTTGAGCCTAGGAGATCGAGATCATTCTGAATAATATAGCAAAACCTCATCTCAGAGAAAAAAAAATTAGCATGCAATTATGACTCTCTTAAAAAAATCTATAACTAAATTTCAGTTATTAGAAATTCAACTGGCATCTGACATTAGTGAACTGGAATACCCGTCTTGTTTATCAATTACATGCTCACTATATTATTTAAAGATTGCTTCATATTTTAATATATCTTCATGGCCGGGTACGGTGGCTCATGCCTATAATCCCAGCACTTTGGGAGGCCAAGGTGAGAGAATTGTCTTAGCCTATGGGTTTGAGACCAGTTCTGGCAACTTGGTGAGAGCTCATCTCTGCAATAAATTAAAAAATTAGCTGGGCGTGGTGGCGCGTGCCTATAGTTCCGTAACTTGGAAGGCTGAGACAGAAGGATCGCCTCAGCTCAGCAGGTCAAGGCTGCGGTGGCCGGGAGCATGCCACTGCCCTCCAGCCTGGGTGACAGAGTGAGACTCCCAACGCCAAAAAAAAAAAAAACAACCAGCTATATCTATATCTATATCTGTTCATGATCATGAAAACCCCAATTTGGGTTTTTGGAAATTAATCTGACTCAATCTATTACTCAATTTCCCTCTCTCTCGTCTGTCTATCTACAGACATACATATAAGTACATATATATACATAGACATGAATATGTACATGTGTATACATATGTATCATCTTGGATAGATAATTATTTTGCAGTAAAATGGAAAATATGTACACAGATACATTTATATACCCTCTGCCAGCCCTTGGAGCTCTCTCTTTCTCCACATACACACATATATATATGCCCTTACACCCTCTGACAAACCTTTCTAGGTTTTTTCCTTTCTTGACTACAAGGACTACTAAACTTCTGACTCAATATTTGGTAGATAACCTGCAGTGGTAGAGATCATTGCCACAGAAGGCGTAGGTCTTCAGGCCAGGTGCAATGGCTCACACCTGTAATCCCAGCACTTCAGGAGGCCTAGGTGGGAAGATTGCTTGTGCCCAGGAGTTTGAGACCAGCCTAAACAACATAGCAAAACCTCATCTCTACAAAAAAAAAAAAAAAGTCAGGCATGGTGGCTCATGCCTGTAGTTCTAGCTACTCCGGAGGCTGAAGGATCACCTGAGCCCAGGAGGTCGAGCCCATGGAGAGCCGTGATCACGCCAGTGCATTCCAGTCTCAGAGACAAAGTGAGGTCCCAATTCAGACAAAATTTAAGAACAAAAAGGAAGAGGCAGGTTTTCACTAGAGTGGTTCCTTGACACATGGCCACATATTCTCACGGTACACCACACACTTTGGTATATGAAGGCTTTGAAAGTGCCACAGTAAAAAAGGGGGAAAGGGCCAACCACATAGTGGTAATAACAGAGCAGTACACAACAAGCTCTGGAAAAGTCTTTCCCCCTTCTGTTGAAAAGGACTAAAGTAAGAGTATTTTACAAAATGTGGTTCATTTTGGGAATTAAAGATAATTTACTCTATGTTCTTGACATTTATTCTACAAAACCAGAGGACTGCTAGGGATCCAGTACACAATACACTGACCATTTACCATGGACTCTTTGTTTTTTTTTTGTTTTTTTTTGAGTTGGAGTCTCACTCTGTCGCCCAGACTGGAGTGCAGTGGCCGCTCCCGGCCACAGCAGCCTCGCCTGCTGGGCTCCGGCGATCCTTCCGCCTCAGCCTTCCGAGTAGCCGGAATTACAGGGGCGCGCTACCATGCCCGGTTGATTTTTTTGATTTATTGTAGAGATGAGGTCTCACTGCCCAGGCGGGTCTTGAACCCACAGGCTCAGGCGATCCACTCACCTCAGCCTCCCAAAGGGACTCTTTGGTTTTAAGCAGTATTCACTTGGTATGCCAAGTCAAAGGAGATACGTCATGCCATTTTTAGGAGAACACTTACGATATCTTAGAAGAAAATTTACATAAGTCCTGCCCACAAACACTTTAAGATTTATGGATTACAATGGATAAAGTCATAAACACCTACAGTATTTTGCAAAGTCTTTCTGAAAATCCGTCCTGGCATTGACAAAAGCACATCCCCGCTCGGTTCCGACGACAAACACGTCTGTTTCATATACTGCGATGCAAGCCACCTCTGCCTTGGACTTGGCCAGTTCTTTACACTGAAATAGAAACAAAAAATAACGTATTAGATATGTAAGGGGAGGCTGGGCATAGTGGCTCACGCCTGTAATCCGAGCACTTTGGGAGGCGGGGGTGAGAGGACTGCCTGAGCCCAGGGGTTTGAGATCAGCCTGGGCAACTTGGCAAGTGGGTCACTCTGGGTGACTGAGGCAGGAGGATCGCTTGAGTCTAGGAGTTTGAGATCAGCCTGGGCAACATAGTGAGAACTTGTCTCTACAAAAAAATAAAAAATTTTAAAAATTAGCCAGATGTGGCGGCATATACTTGTAGTCCCAGCCACATAGGAGGCTAAGGCGGAAAGATCTTCTGAGCCTAGAAGGTGGAGGTGGAAGTGAGCTATGATCATGCCACTGCACTCCAGCCTAGCAACAGAGACCCTAACTCAAAAAAGAAAAGTGACACTGAAGTATTTTGCAATTCTGTCATTTTGGCCGTGCTCAGTGGCTCAGCCTGTAATCCCAGCACTTTGGGAGGTCAAGGTGAATGAACTGCCTGAGACTTTGGGTTCGAGACCAGCCCAGGCAACTTGATGAGAACTCATCTCTACAATAAAATAAAAAATTAGCCAGGTATGGTAGTGCGAGCCTGTACTTCCCAACTACTTGGAAGGCTGAGGCGGAAGGACTGCCGGAGCCTAGGAGGTTGACTCGGGGGTGGCCGTGAGTGTGTCACTGCACTCCAGCATGGACAACAGATTGAGACTCCAACACCCTCCCCAAAAAATTTGTCATTTTGTCAATAACTCAACTGTGAAACATTGGACAGAACCATAAGGCCGTCTCACCATGGACTCAAGAGCAGACACGAGGAACGTCACGACCATCCTGCTCTCTGAAGACTCTTCTTCAACGGGCAGGGTGGACATTGCGACCTGGGCCATAATCCCTGTGCAAGAGAAGTAAGAAGAAAGTAAGTAGTAGTAATCCCTAGTGTCCCAAACCCACATTTAGAGCTGTGAGGGTCCTCACAGGGGATCTAGTTCAAACCTTCCTTTAGAGCAGAAGAAACTGACACTTAAAGACATTTAGCGACTTGCCCGAGATCTCCTGAATAGTAGTGCTAACTTTCATAGAGTGTATTTTCCACTGAAACATACGTATTATCTCCTCATAAAATAAATTCAGGTATTGCCCTAGAGAAGCACGTTAACTTTCCCAAGAGAGGTAGGAAGTGTACCTTGCTGGTCCAATGACGCTTTGTCAGATTTCAGCATGGCTTTGCCAGATATCATATTCCGTTTCACTTACACATAAAAAGGGATTTATGAACTCAAGGTGGGAACAGAAAATCCCCTCTCCTTCTCCCGCTGCGGCTTCTTCCTCATAAAAGCTCACTCTAAATTTTGCCAGGCTCTAAACCTAGCTATTAAAAAACTTTGAAAAAAATTCTCCAAAACCTTAAAAAGAGTTTTTTGAAATAAAGCATGCAAATTAAATACTTGTCAGATATGTCATGCCCCTCCAGTACTTGGCTTAATTATATTTGGTAGCAAAAGATAAGGAGATCCAAATGAATACGTAGATCGAAGGAAAGCTGAAGATTCCAGGGAGTGAAGCAGGGTGGTCAGAGCTTGTAGTTCAATTCTTTGCCCACCTGAATGTGGTGTGGCCACGTGACTTTCATGAGCCAATGATGTCAGGGCAGTGACGTGGTTTCCAGGCAGAGGCTTTGCCACACTCCCTCTTCCTCAGCGGAGAACAACAACATTCCATCAGCCTTGGGTCCAGATGGAGGACAACGTGGAACAGACCCCCAGAAACACAACAGACCTTTGATGCAGCCAAGAAATACATCCATGTTCCTTGAATCCTCCAAACTCTGGTGTCGTGCGTAATCAAGGCATACCCTAGCCAGATTTGGACAGTTACAGAAGGCTGAAAAGGAATTCTAGAAATAGCACTATCTTTTTTTTTTTTTTTTTTTTGAGTTGGAGTCTCACTCTGTCGCCCAGGCTGGAGTGCCGTGACATGCTCATGGCCACCCCAGCTTTGACCTGCTGGGCTCCGGGATCCTTCCGCCTCACCTTCCCAAGTAGTTGGAACTACAGGCCCACCCTATCACGCCTGGCTAATTTTTCTTGTTTATGGTAGAGACAAAGTCTCGGCAAGTTGCCTGGGCTGGTCTTCAACCCACGGGCTCAGACAATCCACTCGCCTCGGCCTCCCAAAGTGCTGGGATTACAGGCTGAGCCACTGAGCCCGGCCAGCACTACCTTTCTCAATGATCTGAAGATACTCGAGAAACCCTTGTTTCTCCCTAAGAACGACCAGTTATGCCAAACCAAACTGGTAGGATGTAAACTGTTTTGGTTAAAAATTTTTATAAATCTATATCCCTGTTACAAAGTAGAATGTGAAGAGGAAGAGAAAGGTACAGAGAGATTTGTTAAATTACAAAATTACAGCTAGATAGGAGGAATAAATTCTGGTGCTCTTTTGTACTGTAGGATGACTATAATTAGCAATAATATATAGTTTCAAATAGCGAGTAGGATAGCCAATGTTCCCAACACAAAGAAATGATACATGTTTGAGATAATGGATATGCTAATTACCATGACCTGATCATCACACATTACATATACTTGAAAACAAAACTATGTACCCCATAATATGTACAATTATTTTGTGTCAATTTAAAAATCAAATTAAAAAAAAGAGGTAGGGTCTGACTTTAGACCTTAATTAACCAGGGTGTAACAGCCTGTATTAAGGCATATTAATTAATTAAAAGGTATGATCTGGGCATGAACAAATAAGGGAATACACACACTTCAACTAGAAGCTTTTAAGATAATTGTCTTAAATGAAACTTTTGACAGTCTTCTCATTATCACACCTATATTTGAAAACAAATACATATTCGTTAATTTTTTTTTAATAGCTAAGACTCTATTCTGACAACAGAGCTGGCATCAGAAAAAGCAGCGTCAATTGCTTCTCAGCCTTTTGGCGAAGATCAAGCATAGAAAAAGGAGCATCCAGCAAGGAGATGCATAGGTCTTAGAAAGTCTTTTCTTCAACATTCTAGATTCTACAATTATCACTTGGTACATTTGACAAGGAAACGCAAATAACAGGCATGTTATTTTCCCATTCACTTAGATTATGCTCCATACTTATTATTTCGGAAGCTCAGAATATTTTCATTCACAATATTATTTTCTGTTTAAAAACAAAGCGAGAGCCAGGCTCAGTGGCTCAGCCTATAATCCCGCGTCTTTGGGAGGCTGAGGTGAGTGGATTGCCTGAGCCCGCGGGTACGAGACCCGCCTGGGCAACTTGGTGAGACCTCATCTCTACAATAAATCAAAAATGAGCCGCGCCTGT